CTCCCTGTTTAATAAATGAGATTATAGGGTGGCTCTAGAGGCACCTAGATGGAATTATAATCTGGCAAAATGAAACCAGGAGCCGTAGTGGTTGCATGAGGGCATTAAGACATACCTTTTTATGAAAAATCGAGTTTCTTGTGAGATTCCTAGAAAACTGCAGTCTTACAGCTGGGAAAGGAAAAATACCATATATCCTTAGGTGTTAAGCATGGCTTATTGTTGTTTTAAAATGTTAATTTTGTTGCAATTCTTGATTCTCAGGGGCAAGAGGCCTCAATCAGACTCCAGAATGAGGGTCTTCTCTCCCATCCCTGGTTCCATAATCTCCCCTAGCTTTCTATCTGGTCTCAAATTATCCCTCCAAATAATTAACTATTATTTAAAAAAATAAAAAAATCATAATATTGTAAAGGACAGAAGAGAGTTTATAACGGTTTCTTCTAGTGGTGAGTATAGACACCACCAACAAAAATCCCCAAACCACAAAAAACGACAACAGACTGGGGCCTCAGAGACACATCTGGCTTCTGTTTGGTAAAAATCTTTGAATGGCCCAGTTATACTATAGAGGAAGAGGAGCTGAACTCTGCAGTCCACTTCTGCAGCCAGAATAAAGCCTCAGTCACAGGTTTGAACTGACAGTCTCCACACCTGCTTTCAAGCCGAGATGGTGATGTTCAGTTAGAGACCATAAGGGACAGAGATGTGGAAAGGTTCTGGGGACATCTGGCAGGAGAACGGGGGAGAGGCTTGGGCTGGAGGGAGGTTTTGGTAGACAGCAGAATGAAAGTGCTGTCATATGTTTCTTGTTGGGTAAGGTAGGATTAACGGCCATGTTCCGGGTCCCCATGTTACTTGCTTGAACCTCCTTGGTTTAGTTTTCACTAAGACCATATCTCTACTTCCTCAGATTGTCTGCCAAGAATGGCCTTGCTTGAAGGGGGCTGGGCTCTAAGGGACATTGCCCTAAATACATATTTATTGGGCATCTGCTATGAGCCAAATGCTATTTTATGCTCTGTGCACATAGCAGTAAAGAAGACAGATGATAACCTCTCCTTCCACCTGTCTGGCTTATGTTTTCATTGAGGAAGAGAGATAATTCATTAAGTGAGGAAAATACAGATTTTGTAAGATGGCAGTAAGTACTAAAACATACAAGTAGGGGGGGGGATAAGAATACTGGCCGTAGGGTTAAAGCTATTTTGCACAGAAGGCCACTCTAAGTCAACTATTACAGTCTGAAAACCTTAACTGCCGGTGTGATGTTCTGTGGTGGGATGGGGTGGGGGCTTTTAAGAATCTGCTGGTGAGACGGCCCTGGCACAGGAAGGAGTATGTAAATAGTGACACTCCCATGTTTCTCCTCATTTGCTACCAGAGCATTGAAACAGCAGTTCCCAGGGAACTGGAATTGAAACCTGGTGTTAGCCAAAACAGGAACTTATCTCCCAGGAAGAGATTTCCCTCATTTTTGACAACTTACAAGATCACCTTGCAGGAAAGGCTGGAGTTGAGACAGTGATGGCCAGTGATGGGCAGGACCACACCCTGACCAGGACTGATTACTTATGCAAACCTGTTGTCTTCTGCTTAAACCTAAACCTCATGTCAAGACAGCAAGACTTGTGGGTCACTGGTTTAAAAAAAAAAAAAATCCTCTTCCCAAGATGGCGACATTGAAGAAACCTCCTTTCTCTGCCTTTTATTTTTTAAAATAGACCATGGAAGACTGGTGACTGAACTTAGGTTGATAGAGATACAGGGACCTGCCTTTGATCCTAAAAACTCCGGTATCACCGGAACCTTGATTTTCAACATTCTGGCATCAGAACGATGAGAACTAAGTTTCTGTTGTTTCAAAGTTGCCTAACTCGTGACATTTTGTTAGGAAAACAGACAGAAACCTAAGACATGTCATTTGAACAAACCCTGGAAGGAGGGAAGACTGCCAGCTATTCATGTGAGTGCCTGAGGGAATTCCAGACTGAGCAAGGAGTATACGAGGGGACACAGAGACACTCGTTTTCATCATTATAAAACTAATGATGAGGCCGGAGAGGTGGCACAGCTGTTGAGAGTGCTTCTTCCACAATCATGAAGACTAGAGTTTGGGTCCCAGAACCCATGCAACAAGCTGGATGTCCCTATAAATAACTGTGACTTCAGATCTGAGGCAGGAAGAGACAGCAGGATTGCTGATGTTTGCTGGCTTCTGGTCTAGCCAGGAAAATGAGAGCCCCAGTTCCAGGGACAGACCCTGCCTCAAAAGCAGTAAGTGGAGATGGATAGAAGACACCCAGCACTCTTTTTTTTTTTTTTTTTTTTTTTTTTTTTAAGAAAGGGTCTTACTATGTAGCCTGGCTGGCCTCAAACTTCACAGAGATCTGCCTGGCTCTGCCTCCAGAGTACATACCACCAGGCCTCATGCACTATCTTTTTAAAAATTATTTATTTATTTATATTTTGAGACAGGATTTCTCTGTTGCAGCTCTGGCTGTCCTGGAACTCACTCTGTAGACCAGGCTGGCCTTCAACTAGTAGTTGCCTGCCTCTGCCTCCTGAGGGCTGGGATCAAAGGTATGGGTCACCAACGCCAACCTCTTCATGCATTATTTTATTAAATCTTCATTATGACTTTGCAAGGTGGGCATCATCACTGACATTTTGAAGGTGAATAAGGTAAAAATATGTATGCCTTGTAAAAACTTCAAATAATTTTCTAAAACTAAAAAAAAGAAAAAGGAACTGAAAATCCTTCAGAGAAAACAAATCAAAGCTGTTTTACTATTTTCCCTAATTTTAAAAAATGTTCACAAAGATACACAAAAAACAAAACAAAAAAACAAGAAACTGGAACGATAGGTCACACACTTCTGAAACTAGCCTTTTATTTTCTCTGAGGGGTACATCTTGGTTGGTCCAGTTAACTCTTCCTACTCAGGAACTCAGGGCTAGACGACAGGCCTGGTGGTGCGTGGGGTTTGTTACTGCCAAGTTCAAGACCTGTGAGGGCAATTTAGTGGGACAGTGAGAAAAACAAAACCACACCTACACCAAACCAAACAGCCAAAGGCTGGGGCTGCAACTCAGAGGTAGGATGCTTGCCCAGTGTGTGCGTGAGGCCTTGGGTTCAGTCCCCAGCATGGGAAGGGAAAAAAAGAGAAGCAAGCTGGGCTTCTGGGAGTTTACCTTTCCCAGTTTTCTCCACGTTTAGGAGAAGGGCAGAGGACAAAAGAATCTGCAGTGTCATGCCAACAAGCTGGGGACTCAGTCCCTTCCCATTCCGTGACTATCTGGGGCATTCGCAAGGCCCAGTCCTGTTTTACTTGGACCCAGGCAGCGGTGTCAGCAACTCAGGTGACACTTAGGGACTAGCAGAAAACTCAGCGTCCGG